ATATACATTAGCTACCACCTTGTCTATCACAACTTTTGTTTACACAATCTGTTTTATAATACTTATATGAATAATGTCCTATATATACATATTATATATAATATAGGGTAGGGGGTGGGGTGGGGTGGGGTGAGGGGGGGGGGGGGCAGCTGACCCCCCTGCCCCCCATCTGGCTCCGTCTATGGTGACGAGATAACCCGCAACCACTACTCGAAGATGTACACTGAGTTAATTATGCCTTGTGATTCTAATCGACAAAGGATCACAAGAAGGTAAACCATCCTAGATTGTCATAGTAGAAAAGTTTAAATCAAGAAGGTTAATAAGTTGCTCTCACAATGAGTCTGAACATGAAACCTTGTGGTAATCTTTTAAATAATTCAAGTATAACTAAGGAAGGAGAAGAGTAGAAATTTTATATTGATTATTCATAAATACGTAGTAGTGTTTTACCTATACAATCCACTATATAAAGCTATTATGAATTTAAGTAAAACAATTAGAAAAATATAAAGATGTTAAAGTATAATACAATAATATAGTTGGTCGTATGGTGCATGTATTTTAATTTCATAGCAAACAAAATTAAAATTAAAATTTTACATGGTTAATGTAGTCTCTAATCATGTACATATTAAAGTGATAGATCCATCTATCTAGAGATGAGACATCATTCTTAAATATGTGGGTTTAAATTAATTTAATAATATTATATTTAACTGTGAGACAACATTACCCAATAATATTGGGTTTATTCAAGCTCCCCAAATGTAAGTTAGTTCAGTTATTTTTTTTTCTTTATGCTAGTTTTTATCTAATTATGCTATTAACATAAATAATCAATTTGTTTTGAGCTAGTGATATTTAACTAATTTAGATTATTATTTTAGATTTTTAAAATTTATAATTTGTCATACTTTATAAATTTATTTACACCATTTGTATAATAATTTTCTTTAAATCAACACAATAATACTTAAATTTGTCATTAATAGCAGAATGTTAAAATCATAATATTTATATATTTAAAATAATTGCTAGATTAATATGTATTTATAATAAGACTCCTAATATTTGAAAACTCATAACAAAATGAGAAAATAAATTAACAGTTACGTTCAACAATATGATATAGATTTAAAATTAGTAAATAAAGTAATAATTGTCTCACTTGAAACTCAAAAATTAAAATGATATACAATTTTTAATATATATGTCTAGTAATGAGTACAACTCAAAAAATTTACAATTGCCATAAGCTAGAAATATAGTAAAATAGATTTTAAAATAAAATTAAAAATTTTAAATTTATGAAAATAGACAAATATATGCATGAAACCTCACTAATGAACTAATGTAAATTGCAATATTTTGTTGGTATCTCACATGTTAACACAAAGTGAATTATCAAGACGCAAAAACATCTATAATCTATACATACTTAATTATCGTGTGTGTGTGTATATATATATATATATATATATATATATATATATATATATATATATATATATATATATATATATATAGGGTCAGGTTCCTGTGAGGTCAGGTCTTCCCGTGCGGTCAGTGCGGCATACACCATTATGTATGCATAAATGCACCACACAGTGTTCGTAAATACACCATTATGTGTGGTGTATTTTTTGGCATTTCATTTTGGTGTATTTTCGAACACTGTATGGTGCATTTATGCATACTTAATGGTGTATGCCGCACTGACCGCACCGGAAGACATTACCTCACAGGAATCAATATATATATATATATATATATATATATATATATATATATATATATATTGTTGAGTCCGTTGGTAGAAAACACAAATAATAATCAAAAATAAGATTATTATTTTCTGGAAAGAAGGGAAGAAAAGATGAAGAAATTTGGCTAGTGTTTGGTGTTGGGTTTTTGCAAGAGTCAAGTGAGCACTCTTTCCTTAAAACCTTATTTGCCACCTCCCAAAGATGCTAGGAGCGTTGTGGCCTAGGCTTCCCAGGATAAAACTTGCTAGTGATTCAATGTTTGAGCACTCAAACAAGGAATCCGGCGAGCAAGACACGGTTATGAACACAGTATGGCTAAGAAGAGGAGTAGAAGCAGAATTTTGAGGTTGGAAAACAAAAGTTTCGTGCAGTGTTCTTGCTGTTCTCACTGTGTGTAAAACTCTACTGCCTCTACCCTCTCTTATATAGGGTTGAAGGAGCCAATAGCCTTTATTATGGCAATTAAAAATGACATTAAAGCTGCCTTCCAACAGCTATAACAGCATGCCACTACCTGGGAATTGAATTCAGAATTCAAAATTGGAATTAATAGACAATTAATTATGTAACAGATGAATTCAATCCCCTCAACAGTCAGAACTTTCGGGTTCCAGACCGTTAGCGTACAGGGTTCGGTCTCAACTTTCGACCTCATCCAGTTTCGGCCCTTGCACCTCTCGTGGACTCTGTTGCACGAGAGTTGTGCTCTCGGTGCACCACAACCTCTCGTGCTCTTTGGCTGTTGCACGAGAGTTGTGCTCTCGTGTGCACCAGTTGGAAAAAGATACCGAAGTTTGGCATAACTTAGCCCAACCAATTTTCGGACGACATTCGTGCCCCCAGGTGCCGGCGCACACGAGCTCGGGCTTGAATCAAGCCTTTTTCAATCTTTGCGAGTTGGAATTTGCCCAAGTGCCGGCGCACACGAGCTCAAATCAAGCCTTTTTCAATATCTGCTAGTTGGAATTTGATTTGCACACCACCCCGCGCGAGAGAGCCTCTATGCTATACAATTCTACAAGCTTCAAAAGAACTCTTGTATATAAGGGGGGAAAATCTTCATTCCAAAGCAATGTGGGACAAAAGCCACTTTTTCCCTTCATTTTCCAACTCAAATGGGTCTACTTTGAGAATCAATATCTCATTCACCCATTATCCGTTTTGAGCGTACAATATATCGATCTCTTCGTCTCACTACGAAGAATCCGAATCCACTTTAACCCGACCCAAATCGGAAGTGAACCCCACTGATAATTGTACCACAAAATAGTCACTTAACATGTCATTTTATGCCATTTAAGCTATTTTTTCCAACATATATATATATATATATATATATATATATATATATATATATATATATATATATATATATATATATATATATATATATATATATATATATATATATATAGTTACAAATTGTATACATTGGCAACAAAATTTAATTAATAGAAAAACTAAATTTGTCTGCAAAATATATTAAATTGTTTCAATCTTTTAGCCTACAAGTATGCATGCATCGTACTTACATCTTGAATCACGTAATTCTTAAATCGGTCGTATAGCCTACTTTGTTTTTAATACAAACAATGTAAAACTTCATCAGGTATGAGTCAAAATTCATTGAGGCCATTACTAAAGATGTGCTAGGGGTGCTGAATATTATGCCCATGAATGTTGCAAAGCATCATATTGGAATTGATTCCCGTGTTAGAGCTGTACTTGATTTATTACAAATTGAAACAAATGGTAGTGTTCAGATGATTGGAATTTTTGGCATGGGTGGTGTAGGGAAATCAACCCTTGCTAAAGCCATATACAATCACTTTACCATGAATTTCCAAGGGTTTGAAGGTAGTTGCTTTGTTGCAAATATTAGACAAGAAGTTTCTAATAAGGGACACAATGGTCTGGTTTGTTTACAAGAAAAACTTCTTCGGAAAATACTGAAGAAAAATTTTGAAATTGATAACGTTGATGAAGGAATAAGTTTGATCAAAACAAGATTGCAATCAAAAAGGGTTCTTATTGTTCTTGATGACATAGACCACATAAGTCAACTAGAATCATTAGCCGGACAACGGAATTGGTTTGGTTCAGGTACTACAATTATAATAACAACTAGAGATGTTCATTTGTTGAGTGACCTTGGAACACGAGAGAAGTACATGGTTAAAACATTAAACATTGATGATTCTTTGCAACTCTTAAGTTGGCATGCTTTTGGTGTTCCAATACCATTAGAGGAGTATACCGAACTATCCAAAAGGATAGCAAGTTATATTGGTGGACTTCCATTAGCCCTTACAGTTATAGGTTCTCATTTGCGTGGAAGATCAGTGCAAGAGTGGATCGAAGATGTTGAGAAATTAAAAAGAAATTCTCATGATGATATTCACAAAATTCTTAAAATAAGCTATGATGCACTTGATGGTGATACTCAAAACATCTTTCTTGATATTGCTTGTTTTTTCGTTGGGCATGGCAAAAAGGACACTGCTATGATATTGGAAGCTTGTGGTTTTTATGCTGAAAGTGGAATCAGAAGTTTGATAGAAAAATGTTTGTTAACAATACATGGAGGTGGAGAATTTGGTAGGCTTGAGATGCATGATTTAGTACGGGATATGGGAAGAGAAGTTGTTCGAAAAGAATCTCCAGGAGATCCTAGCAAACGAAGTAGATTGATGGACCCAAAGGATGTGTTTGATGTTCTTCAAGGTAACAAGGTAATTAAAGCATTTCTTTTGTACTTGAGTTATTAATCTAGTTAATTCATTTGGTTGCAATACTTTGCTTTATTAAAATATGAATGATTTTAGAGTATCTAAAATATTTCTATCTAAAATTCTTTGTTTTAGGGCACAGGAAGAATTGAAGGGGTGTTTGTAAATTCAAATATCTTAAAGAATGTGGTTTTGAGTACCAAAGTATTCAAAAGGATGGTAAATTTAAGAATACTTATATTGGATGGTGTACTTCTTAAAGGACCCTTTAAATATTTGTCCAATAAACTTAGGCTATTTAGATTGCATAATTGCAATTTGAGCCGCATACCATCTGATTTTAGCTTTGAGAAACTTGCTGTGTTAGACTTGAACGGTTGCAATATCGAAGAATTTCAACCTAACATGCAGGTTAGTATGTCTATTGCTTCTTTTAAGTTTGCATATTTCATAAGAAGTTTGACTAAAAAAATAGAAATTGATTAAAATTCTCTAGTTACTTTAATTAACATACAACACTTTGTTTTTTTTTTTTGTTTTTTTTTTTGTTTTTTGTTTTTTTTTTTTGTTTTGTTTTTTTTTGTTTTTTTTTTCTTTTTAAATATGAGAATATCTAAAATATTGCTATATGAAATAAATTTTTAGGCCACATAAGCAGTTAAAGCGAAGATTGTAAATTCTATCTAACATGCATGCATTTCAAAGTATATTATTTTGAGTACCAAAATATTTACAAGGATGGTAATGAAATTTATGAATATTCAAATTGGATGGTGTGTTTATCTTTTAAATATTTGTCCAATGAACTTAAATTGTTTAGGATGCAAGATAGAAATATCAATGAATTTCTTCCAATATGCAGGTTTAATTTATATTGTCTAATCCTTCTTTTAAAATTACATATTCCCTATGTACTGTGAATATAAAAATAGAAACTGATTAAAGTCTACTTTATTACACAGCATTTGAGGTGCTTGAAGATCTTAAAGTTTGTTAGTTGTAAACAACTTAAGAAAATGTCGGAGTTCAGTGGGGCGGAGAGTCTTCAGATATTATTATTTGAATTTTGTTCAAATTTGGTCAAGGTGCACTCATCAATTGGAAGTTTGCAGAAACTTGTTGAGTTATATTTTGAAGAATGCACGAAACTGAAGGAACTTCCGAATAGCATTTGTAATTTAAAATCACTTGAAGTTTTAAGTTTACGTGGTTGCAAGAAACTGAAACAGCTTCCAATTGAGTTGGGGAAATTAGAGCAACTAAGAGAATTAGATGCTTTTAGAACTGGCATCTCACATATACCCTTTTCTTTGGGATGTTTGAGAAATCTAAAGACATTGTACCTGTGGTCACACAAGGAGTTAGTAGCGTCAAAATCAAGACCTCATCAACTTCTTGACACTTTATCACCTCAGTTTTTATCAAGAAGAGTTCGCAATCCTAATCCTGATGGTTTTCTACCTTCATTTGCGAATTTATGCTCCTTGGAATATCTAAGAGTGTCTTACAACTATCTGCATGGAGTAGATCTTAGGACCTCTATTGGGTGTTTGACCTCATTGGAATCTTTAGATTTATTGGGAAGTTGTTATCTTCAAAGCTTACCCTTCGACCATTGTCATCTTTCCAATTTGAGAAGCCTCTGCTTGGACGATTGGCGGAATCTTAGAGCACTTCTAGACCTTCCTCCAAGTTTAGAAGTACTCTCCACAAAAAATTGTGTCTCATTGGAAAAAATAACAGATTTATCAACCTTGAAAAGACTTGAACACTTGAATATTGAGAATTGCAAAAGTTTAGTTGAGCTCCCGGGCCTCGAGAGTCTTGAATCCTTACAAAATCTTGCGGTAGCGAATTGTAGTTCTTTGAGTATTCCTTTGATCGAGAACTGGTACCAGGTTAGTTATATATCCTCCCCGGCCTGATTTATGATGATTTAAGGTCCGTTTGAATTGGAAAATATTTTTTAGAAAGAGTAATATGCTAGATACCCCTCCTATTTTTCCTTCCAAGTTCATCACTCATGATGTGTCATTAGTTAATTGGTTACTAATTTTATTTTTAAAATTAGTGGTGGGTTAGCCAATTCATGACACCCAATGAGTGAAAGCCACATCACGCCCGAAGGAAATCTAGGAGGGATAAAAAACATTTTCCTTTTGGAAATTGATTTTCTAAAAATATTTTAATTTTCTGTTGTTTGACTGAGGGTCAAAAAACTTTTTTTTGGCAGAAAATTAAGATTTTTTTTTTTTGGTTCATTTTCTTAAATATGAGCATATTAATTATTTGTTTAGAAAAAGTAACAACAACAACAATAATAATAATTGGTGGTGGTGGTGATAATAATAATTGAAAAACTAGTTTGGAGAGAGATGATAGAGAATAAAGACACAGACAACTAAAGAATCTAAAAAATGACTCCTGACTAAAAATTTAGGAAGATATTTTCGGTCAACTTGGACATTTTCGTTGACCAGAATAAGTATTTTCTTTTGATTTTTATTTTTGATTATCTCAACACAGAAAAATCTAAAAAGTGACAAATAATTTTTCAGGTTTCCAATAGTGTTTTTATGTAGTATTAATAATTAGATTAGATGGCCTGGTGATGGTTTTGGTATTAATTGTTAAATTGTACTCCGTATTTCATAATGTAGGCATGTTCTGGAGGAGGTGATACTGTCAAGATTTGGGTTCAAGTATGTGGGTATTATGTAAGTTGCAGTATTCCAACACTTTTGAGCTGAGGCATGAATTTCTTGATATCAATTTCAACGTGTGCCAAAGTGCATATGCATGCATGCATGTAATTTATTACGTGGTATCATATCTCTCTGATTTGGTGTTTTAATTTGTTATATTATTGTATTTCAAAATGTAGGTAGGTTCTGTAAGTTGCACAATTCCAACACTTTTGAGGCAGCATGGATCCTTTGATATCATTTACAGAGAATTGCATGGAGATCACTTTAATGGAGTTGGTGTTAGTGTGAAAAACAAAACCACTGGTGATTGGGTTGTGAAAGAGCCTCAATATATTAATATTAAGATCATTGAGCGTGAAAGAATTGAATTTGAGGTGCCAACAAAGATTGGGGAAGTAATGGAGGTTTATGCACATTTCCATCCTCTGCAGAACATACTTTGTGTATTTGAAATTCATAGAAACACAGATGGTGTAGTGCGCTTCTTCCCATCCACAAGGGGGTGGATTCCTGCAATTTAATTAATTTGATGGAACAAATAGGCCAGGATTTGTTTTCATTTTCTCATTTATTTTTTTATTTTTTATTTTTAGATGTTGTCAAAACTCCTCTTTAAAAATATTTTGTAAATTGTCTTTTAAGAGTCTGTTTGGAAAGCAGAAAAATGACTCATTTTCTGGAAAACATTTTCCTTTCCGGTGTTTGGCTGCACAACAGAAAACTGTCTTTGTGTGTTTGGTTCATTTTTCAAAAAATGAGCAAAATTGTATACTTCACCATTTTGATTGTTATAATGAGAGTGATTTAGCTTGTCTAGGAGGGTATAATCTTCAAATCTATTTAAAAAACCCTAAACAATAAATTTATTTAAAAAAAAAAATTGGACTGGTTTGGAATCCTTATCGCCTTTCTGTGCAGAATGGTTTCCAAGGAAACCAACCAGATCTGTGGGTTTCCAAGTCAGAAACCATTACGTTTCCAGCTGTGGGTTTTCATACCCACAGCCGGAAATGGTTTCTGGTGGTCGAGAAGTTGGTGAATGTCGCAAAGAAGGCATTGGTGGTCTCTATAGTCTTTATGCGAAGAAGAAGGCGTTGGTGGCAGGTCTCTGTAGTCTTTATGCGAAGAAGGAAGCATTGGTAGTCTGTGGTCTGTGCGAAGAAGAAGAAGCGGAAAATGACTTCCCCCTCCCCTCCCAAAAAAAAAGGGAAAGTCATTTTCTGAAAAAATGGGATCATTTTCCATTTACCATAATTGATTTTCCTTTGACTTCTTATTTTCCTGCCTAGCGAAACATCAGAAATCATTTTCCGAGTTTCCAAACAGACCCTAAATTAAAGATAATGAAGGTGTCAATAAATAACTTATTAGTCAAACTTTTTCTTATTTTAACGCGCGATAGTTTTACATAAATACATGTTTGGCATAGCTTATTGGGGCTAATAACTTAAAAATGAATAAGTTCCTCAACAAGGGCGATCTTGAAATTTTCTTCAGTGAGGGCAACCAATAAAAATATGAAATGGTTGAAATAAATTTCATATAATCTCTATTAATATGACATTCATAAATACTTTTTATTTTATTTAGATAATTTAAATACGATAACGTACATTTGAAACTTCTAGATTACATTACTAAATAGTTTTTTAAAAAAAGTAAATTTTCTTTTAAAATATTGTTTAGAGTTAATTGAAAAAAAACTATAACTCTTGATTTCTTATCTCTCTAGAAATTCTCTCTAGGGTTTTGCCTCCTTGCTAGGATTTCTCCTAGAACTTCCAGCGTTTCTTGCTCTTCTTGATTACTGAACGGACGGATCTTGCTGCGGGGTTACGGTAGATGAGCGACGGGATACAGCAGGCCAGCACCACTGATTCTCGCTACTGGTTCACGTCGGCAAAAACGTTGTGTGACGGACGAATGGATCCTTCGACGACGGAACCGGTCGTTCATGGGATTGACGAGGAACCACCGATCCTCGAGCGGGCGGAGGAGGTTATCGAACGACTAACACAGCGATGGGGTGATATAGCGCTTGAGGAGGAGGAGGAGATCGGCTTTGAGCCGGTGGGGGAGGGTGTCGGGGTGGTGGCGGAGGAGGAGGAACATCGGTGGGTGTGTGTTGGTAGATTTTTGACAACGAAGGTGGTGAAGTTGGAGTATATGCGGCAAGTGATGGCCTCGGTTTGGCAACCGGTGTGGGGTATGCATGTAACGGAAATTCAACCGGGGTTATTTATGTTCATCTTTTACGATGAAACGGATATGCAGAGGGTCCTCAATGAAGGGCCGTGGTCTTTTGAGAACAACACCCTAGTCTGTAAGCAGGTGGAATCGGGTGCAAGGCCGGCTGCGGTTGAGTTGAAATCGGTGGATATGTGGGTGCAGCTTTATGACTTGCCGCTGGGATATACATCGGAAGCGGTTCTTGAACAAGCGGCCAATTTTATTGGCACGTTTGTAAAAGTTGATGACCGTTATCCGGGAGCACCATGGAAGACGTTTCACCGGGTTCGTGTGTCAATACCGGTAGAAAAGTCGCTAAAACGAAGGATGAAACTAATTAAACGAGATAAGTCAAGCTGCTGGGTAAATTTCCGCTACGAACGTTTACATAATTTTTGCTTTTATTGTGGTTTATTGGGGCATGCCTATAAGTTCTGTAAGTTGGCAAGGAAATCAGGACTCACTGCGGATAAATTTCCATATACGGCGGACCTGAGGGCGGGGGGAGGTAGCCGGGGGCCAAGGCAGGTGGGAGACCCGTGGTTGAGATCACTGGACGGGAAAGGGAAAGATGGGATGAGAAGGGAGGGGGGTGTGGGGGCTACGGCTACGGCATTAGGGGGTGGTGTGAGTGAGGGAGGGGTACGGGTTGGGGTGACGGATGTGAGGGTGGGTGAGGGAGTGGTGGTAGCGGCGGCTAAGAGAAGGAGGGGGGATGGGATGGGTGGTGGTGGTGGTATAAGGATGGATGCAGGAGATGTGGTGATGTCTGAGCTCTCAAAAAACGGATTTACGGCGGGTCCTGTTGGTCAGGCCCGCCCATCTCAATGAGTACAATAAGCTGGAACTGTCGTGGCTTGGGCAATCCACAGACAGTTCGTGAGGTGGTGGACATGGTGTCCCGTAAGAAGCCCGATTTCGTCTACTTAATGGAAACAAAGGTAGATCGGAGTCATGCAGAAAGATTGCGAGTTAAAATTGGTTTTGAGGGTCTGTTTTATGTGGATCCAGTTAGGGGAGGAGGTGGATTAGCATTATTATGGCGAAAGAATAATACTGCTAGACTGTTGAGTTATTCGAAGAGTTATGTGGATGTGGAGGTGGCTGTTAAGGAAAAAGTATGGCGGATGACATGCCTCTATGGATTTCCACAGAGACATAGACGCAGGGAGGCGTGGCAATTGTTAAGTGGGTTAAGGGATAAGTCTACACTGCCATGGGTGGCGTTGGGGGATTTCAATGATTTATTATACCAACGTGAGAAGAGAGGCGGGAATCCTCACCCGGATAGTCTGTTGAGAGGGTTTGGGGATACTGTTTACAATTGTGGGCTGGTTCAATTGCCAATGCGGGGTCACCAGTTTACATGGGAGAAGGGGGAAGGGACTGATAGATGGATGGATGAAAGGTTGGATAAGGTGTTGGTGTCTACACGATGGACTACACTGAATACTGAGGCGTGGGTCGAAAATATTCTAACCCGAAAGTCTGATCACTCTGCTCTCTTTTTAAAAATTGATGTAGTGCGTTGCCGCAGATATGGGGGACCGAAACGATTCCGCTTTGAGATGGCATGGATTCATGATGACGGTTGTCGGAGGGTGGTGGAGACAGCCTGGCAGGATGGTAGGGATAAGGGGCTGTTGAATTGTCAGCAGCATTGTGGGGGAAGGCTAATGCGGTGGGGTGGGAGCATTGGCATAAGTTTGGAGACCGCATCAAGCAATTGAGGAAAGAGCAGGATGAGATACGGCACAGACGAGATTCGGCTGCATTGGCTGAATTTCGCGAGATTGAGGAGAGACTAGTACAGTTGGAGATGCAGGAGGATGTATTTTGGAGGCAGCGGGCGAAGCAGCACTGGCTCCGCGGTGTGGACTGCAATACCAAATTCTATCACAGGTACGCTTCTGCTCATAGAAGGAAAAATTATATTCCTAGATTAAAAGATGATATGGGTGCATGGGTGGAGGGGGATAATATGAAGAAAGTTGTCTTAGAATATTATGCTGCTATTTTTACATCATCAAACACTGAATGGTGGGAGGATCCCATGTTTGATAATTTTGCCCCCCGTGTGACTAGTGAGCAGAACACTAAGCTCCTCCGCCAGTTTGAGTTAGAAGAGGTCAAGTGTGCTTTATTTGCAATGTTCCCTGACAAAGCACCAGGACCGGATGGTATGAATCCTGGATTTTACCAGGAATATTGGGATATTGTGGGGGGGAGATGTGTCTAAATTTATTGTGAATTGCTTGAACTCACGCTCGTTGCCTGAAGGATTGAATGATACTAATGTGGTCTTAATCCCGAAGAAAGATGTGCCTGAGACAGTAGCTGATATGAGACTAATAGCTCTAAGTAATGTTCTGTACAGGATCATGGCAAAGGTAATAGCCAACAGGATGAAACCGCTCATGGGGAGCCTCATATCTGAGGCCCAAAGTGCTTTTATCCCTGGGAGACTTATTACTGATAATATTTTAATAGCTGCGGAGGTGGGGCATTACTTGAATAGAAAACAGTGTGGAAGGAGGGGGTGGGCAGCGTTGAAATTGGATATGGCCAAGGCGTATGATAGGATGGAATGGCAGTTCCTGAGACGGATGTTGGAGGTAATGGGTTTTGAGGACCGGTGGATTAATTTGTTAATGCAGTGTGTTACTACTGTCCAGTATAACATCTTAATTAATGGTGTTCATAGTGGAGGTGTAACGCCAACCAGGGGGTTGCGGCAGGGGATCCTTTGTCCCCATATTTATTCCTCATATGTGCAGAAGGGTTATCTGTGTTATTGCAAAGAGCGCAAATGTCTGGCTCAATACATGGCTGCAGGGTTGCTAGGGGAGCCCCGCAGATATCACATCTATTTTTTGCAGATGATAGCCTATTATTTTTTAGAGCAGATGGGGAGGAGGCGGGAGTAATTAAACAGTGTCTGGGACGATATGAGGAGCTCTCAGGACAAAAGGTAAATTATCACAAGTCCACTGTCTGTTTTAGCAGAAATACCAGTGTGGAGGATAGGGAAGAGGTGGCGATTTGCTTGCAGGTAGACCAGGCACCCAATTTTGGGAAATATTTGGGATTACCATCTTTTGTGGGGAGGAACAAGAGGGCAGTGTTCTCATATATTGAGGATAAGATAAAACAGAGAATAAGCTCATGGAACAAGAAATTTCTGACGCAGGCAGGAAAGGAGATTTTATTGAAAAGCGTGGCACAATCTATGCCTACCTTTTCAATGAGTGTCTTTTTTATCCCGGACTCAGTATGTTTATCAATCCAGAGAACAATGAACAAGTATTGGTGGGGCACTGGTATGGATAGAGGAATACACTGGAAGGCCTGGGATAAGTTAAGCATCCCAAAGAAATATGGAGGAATGGGATTCAAAGATCTTAGGAACTTTAATTTAGCAATGTTGGGAAAACAGGCATGGCGCCTACTCACAAGTCCAGACACACTTGTTGCAAAAGTCTATAAGGCAAGGTACTATCCTAATACCACTTTTATTGATGCCAAAGTAGGAGGATGCCCGAGCCACTCATGGAGAAGTATTATGGCAGCTCATGACATAGTGGTGGCACGGGTGCGCAGGAGGATAGGGGATGGTAAAACAACACTGATCTGGGGACACCCATGGTTGCCTGATAATCCTAGCCCTTTGGTGCAGACTGATATGCCTGTGGAGCTCAGGCACGCTAAAGTGGTAGGTTTAATAGATGAGCATACTGCTACCTGGGACCCGCATATTTTAGCAGATTTATTTGAGGAGGAAGATGTGAGTAGAATATTGAGGATACCTATTAGTCCAGGATATGAGGACTCATGGTATTGGCCTGATGACCCCAATGTGATATACACAGTTAAAAATGCCTACAGACACATTATGGGAATTTATGATCACTCGCCTGGGAGTTTTGAGAAATGGACTAAAATGTGGGGAATGAAAATACCCCCAAAATGGAAGACTTTTTTGTGGAGAGCAGTTTGTGATATTCTTCCAACAACTAACAACTTGATTATAAAGAGGGTGGAAGTGGATCCCACATGCCAAATGTGTGGGATAGAGCATGAGAATGTTATGCATACATTCATCAATTGTGATTATTCTAGACATGTTTGGAATATTTCAGGATTGCCAATAACAAATATTGTTGTCAACTCATTCCCCGAGTGGCTAACAGTTGTGCTTACAATGTTCACAGAGGACCAAAGTGCAGCGGTGGTGGCATTGCTTTATTGCTTATGGAGATGCAGGAATTCAGCGGTATGGGACGGCACACTGCCGCGACCTACCACGGCTTGGAGACAGGCCACGGCGGCGCTGCACTCCTACCGGCAGGTGGTGTGCCGTGGCACGGCGGCTCCCACGGTGGCTACGGCAGATGGCGACACCGACACCACCACACGGTGTTATGTGGATGCGGGGTATCGGGAGGACACGGGGGAAGCTACGTATGGTATTGTGCTGCTGTCTCCGGAGGGATCTTTTATTGCCGCAAAAAATGGGAGACTATCGAATTGTTTGTCACCATTCATGGCGAAGGCACTAGCATGTAAGGAAGCTCTATCCTGGCTTTTGGAGAAGAATATAACAACGGTAACGATTCAAACAGATTGTTTACAGCTGAGAAATGCGATACGGCAGAATACAACTATCATAATGTCTTATGTTGGAGTAGTAGTTGACCAGTGTAGGACTTTAGCTTCGTCTTTTAATTATATCTTGTTTAATCATGTTTCTAGGCAGATTAATGCGCATGCGCACACGTTAGCTTCGTTAGCTTTTATTCAGGATCAGGCTATGTACTGGGATTCTATCCCTCCAGACTGCATTGCAGCTTTGATTCATTAATACAATCATTCATTGGTTGGCTTTCAAAAAATTGTTTAGAGTTAATTACCAAAATGGTCCCTCAATTATAGCGAAAGTACCGACTTGGTCCTCGACTTTTTTTCTTAACCAATCAAATCATCAACTATTCAATCTATGACCCATATGGTCCTTCGTCTGTTTGGGGGTCACTGCTGGAATTTGTCAAATTTCTGACCACTTTTCTGACCGCTCACAAAAATGGTCGAAAAAGTGTTATTTTTTTATTTTTTCGTCCAAGAGTTGAGTTGGGCATAAAAGAGTAGGAATTTCCGATCACTTTTAAAGTGTGGTCGGAATTTAAGTAAAAATAGTCAAAACATTTTTTTCGTCCATTTAGCAGGTGGTCTCACTCCAACAAATTGTTCTTTCAGCAACATCTACTTAAATAGTCTTCGCACTTCGTCTTCACTTCATCAACACACGAACCCTAAACCCTCGTCCTCACTTCATCACTTCATCACTTCATCAACACACGAGCCCTAAACCCTCGTCCTCACTTCTTCACTTCATCAACACACGAGCCCTAAACTCTACCATCATCAGCCCTCGTCCTCACTTAATCACAACCTAGTAGCCTACTCGTAGAATGAAGCAAAAGGAAGAAGACATTGCAAATCACAGCCTAATCGTAGAAAGCAGCAGAAGGAAGAAGACATTGCAACAGATTTTTTCCAGGTTCTCCTATTCTATATCCTCCTCTTTCTCTCTATATATGCATATATTTATGTTTGTATCTAATTTCTGATTAAGATTCATATATATTTTTTTCATTTTATAATTACATTTATTCAGAAGAATCAGTAAATAATTTCTATGAATTCTTATCCTTTTGCGCGAAATTTCAGTGAGCTGCCGATTTGTTTTTGAATTTTGAGTGTCAATCTGGCTAATTTGGTGGGAATTGTGTTTCTTCTATGTGAGTACCTTTTATAATAGACTTGATGCCTATACATCAATTACGAGTTAGAAAAAAGTTCTAATTTTGTACTATGATTCATGGTATGCTTAAATTAAATTATTCTCCTATGAATTGGTGATGTGTGGTTTGAAAGAAGTCATAGTCATACTGACCATTGATATCATTTCAGAGAAGTAAGGAGAAAAGCATAAAAGTAAAAGCCACAAGCATAAGGATTCATCAGTGAGTTCTCTTTCTATTCCTATCTTTACAAAAGTTCAACATTCTAAAACATGTTTATAGTTGAAATGAGCCTAAAATAAACTCCCTACTTGCATTTCATTTTCTGTTTATCTTTGAACTAATTTTTTGGACCATAAACATATGATCAGTCCTATTGGAAATAAATGCTAGACCCATCCCCTAATTTCAGTTTGATTGAAAATGAAATCTTGAATTGCCCTCCGGACACCTCCCGTCTCCTATTGCATCGAATAGGATTTATGTTTGTGACTATTGGTGTGCTAACACTATTGGTGGCCTTTTATACAAAATCTAACCCTCAATGTTAATAAGTTTACAGAAATAAAATGAAAGGTTTAGTTGTGTTTCAAACTCACATTTGGTATTGTATTTAGCTGCAATTTTCTGATTGATTTACATCAACATCATTTACATTGTGATGTACTTGGTTCAAATTAGGAGTATATTCTTCTAATTTCTAAATCATGAGTTATTCATAGTTTTAGAGATTTATGAATCTCTAATTACTTCCTGTGAGGGTCAATGGCATGCTGGTGATTTTGGATTTCCAACTGCTTAAATTAGTAGTAGTTTCTTAAGTTCGAGTCCTTGTTTAAATGTCCTAGAATTGACCTTTTGAAGTATTGAGTCTAAAACCTTTATAATGTTCTTTTTGTATTGAGCCCTCTTCAGGGTATCTTTTTCAGGGTATTGCTGAAAACTTCTCTCTAGGATTCCTAGATTGTTTTCCCTGTACTTTTTCTGTTCACAAATTTCTGTTTTTGTCTGGATTTTTCACAACTGTCGGACAGTCCAAATTTTGCATTTAGCTCAAGAACTAGTTAGCTTTTGTTTATTTTGAATTTAAAATGTAAAGAAAATATATAGCAAAAGTTGCATTGGAAAAGGCTATACTCTAAATAATTTGGCATTCCTATTAATTTGTACCATACTTTGAGGACATAATATTTTGGGTCTTGCTTTCATTTTGTTATTTATCTGACAGATTTCCATTCCCCCTTGGCAGGTTCATTGATAGGGAAAATGAACTTAGACAATCAAAACCACCCACTCCACAGCTACCACAAAGACCAGCCATGGATCCCTGGACAAAGTCTCGACTCAGTGGTCATTTGTGTACACAATCACCTCTGCTATTATCATCAGGTTAATACCAGCAGTATCTCGGTACTCTCTAGACTTACATTCTTACAATTCTTGGATGTCTAACCTAATCTATACAAGAATTTCATATAGGACTGCAATTTTAGTTTTCTAGCCTTGTTACTCTCTGGACTTACATTCTTACAATTCTCGGCCATCTAATATATTTCCTTGAATATTTTTCTGGAGCATTTTCTCAGCAACTCACTATATTAGTAAGTGATTAGATGAACTACAGGTTAACATGCTTGCTCTACTAGAGTTTTGCTCTTTTTCTTCTTATTTTTTGTTCATTTCTGTTTTATTCTTCTCTATTATTTTATTATTCATTTGTGTTTGTTTATGTTTGTAGGAGTATATGATACATTGCAGAAGAAATATCTGAAAACACTCTTATTCTCTGTGTGTGAAGCAATAGATGGGCCCATATGATTGAGGAATATGCTTGTAAGATTTCAAGATATGTGTCATTCTAAACTTTTCATTTTATATGCACGTGTATATAATGTGTGTATTTGGTATAGATGCATGCTCATACATGAAGAATTGAAGTGGTTTCTAACATACTTCCTTTTCTGTGTCAGGCCTTCCATAATTCTTATATACATGTGCTAATGTGGGTTCTATGTCTATAGCATCGCTGCCCTCCTTGTCTGGGAAACTCGAACGAAATATTTTGCAGTAATGATGTCTCATCATATAGTCACTGTCATACTGATTTCATATTTGAGATTCCCATGTGTATTAACCTATTAGATTTTTGGTTTAGAAGTATTATTTTTGTTTCATTTTGTCATGGACTCTCATAGATGGAAAGCAACATTCATCCTCTCGTGGTGCTGAAATTTGTATAATTGTAACAGGTCAAATTCATTTGATATTTGTAGAATTTTATATTTTATATTTTTGGTTAGTAAATCTTACCGACCACCTAGTGGTAGGTGGTCGGTAATTGAATTTTTTTTTATTTTTTCTTTGTAAATTTTACCGACCACTAGTGGATGGTAATTCCGACCAATTACCGATCACCAATGGTAGAAAATATGCTCTCTTTATCCGACAACTAGTAGTTCCGACGTCCTCAAAATGAAGCCGGTATTTCCGACCACCTTGAGTAGTTGTCGGTAACAGCTAGGGCTTTTTTTTCCTGAATTCATGAAATGGTCGGAAAGTTGGTCGGAAATTGCATTTCCGACCGGAAATCTCCCTTTTCCGACCACTTTTTGGTGGTCGGAAAAATGCAAATTTCCAGCAGTGGGTTAAGTTGTCATTTCTTTTGAGGGAAAAATAGGACTTGTCGTTTCTTTTGAGGGAAAAATAGGACTTTTACTTTTTTATCTCATTCTCATATTTAAGAGGAAGAAGATCCATTATCGTCTCTTCATCCAATCGACGGCGGCGATCGGATTGTCTGCCCCACCGGCCGAAAAGGCCGTCACAGCAAGGTCTGCACCGCCAGGAGAACTCGGGACCGCCGTGTGCGGCTAAACACCGCAATCCAGTCCAACGATGTTTAGGACCAGCAGGCAAGACTGAAAGAAGATGATCGAAGAAAGCATCTGGGATTCCATTTCATAAATTCCAAAATAGCCATTTTCACTCTTTCAAGATTTTATTTCGAAAACGGTGTTTGAACTAAATTTTTTGAACCGAGTTTTTGAATAAATTCAACACTGAGATTTATTCCATTTCGAAAATTCTAAATTTTGGGTACATTTATGTACAAAGTTTTGACCCGAAAAGTCAATCTGAGTGAAACAGGAAAGGAACCTGTGAAACCTGAACCAAGTGTTTTAACTAGAAAACATTTTTAGAAAATCTATTTTTGACCCCAAGTTATCCAAAATCCACTTTTTAGACCTTGGTCCATGATGCAAGGTGAACCAAGAGCATTGTCTGATTCCTTGTTAGAAGCCAAACACAAACTTACTTCTTTGCCTTCCACCAATCATTGGTGATCAACCTAGGGTTTTGCACCCTATATATTCATCACTTTTCACCTTGTTTTTCCTGATCTCCTTCTTTGGCATCTCCACTCTTGAGCTCTGTAGACAAAGAAACATTGCAGTAAGTTTTCCCCAAGCTCTTCTCATCCATTCATTCATCTTTCCTCCGGATTTTCATCTTCTTTGCTTCAATCTCTGAGGTTCCTTCCTTGTGTGTAGTTTGTGTGGTTTGTTTGAGGAGTCTAGGAAGTGGAAGTGGTGGAAGTTGAGTAGAGAGGAAGAAGGAAACCACACAAGAAGAAGAACAAGCAAAGGTATAAACCATGGATTCCCAAACTATTATTTTTTTTTTATCTCTGTTGATTTCTAGATTGTGGTTAAATGTGTAGAAATGCTAGATAGATGATGTGGTTGAGTTATTTGTGTGATGTAGATGATCTATTATTGATTTATTGTGGTTTATATTAGAAGTGTTGGTTTTTGTGTTACAGGGAGGAAGAAGGTGTCTGGTACACACAGATGGTGCACCAGATCACTCAACAGTGCTAGCCAACGGGCCATGGCATGGTCCGTTGGCCAGTCCCGTTGAGAGGTGGACCATGGCATGGTCCGTTGCCAAACACCGCGGCTTGGCGGAGCCAAGTGGCGGGGCTTCCCAAGCCCCGTCACCAAGCTCCGCTAGGCCATTTTCAGTACTGGCCGGGCCCTTTGTGGCTCAGCTACATGTTGTTCGGACCGGGACTCATGGGCCCTTGATGCTCGGACACTCGGGCTCGTTACGACGTACTAGTAGAAGTTTGTTTAGTTGATTTTGGAGTTGTAAAACATGATTTATAGTTGAAATTGTTGAGGTTGAGTTCTCTGTTAATGTTGTTGCTGCCTGTGAACCATTCCAGTGAGTGTGTTTAGAGCATCTGAGTATGTTTTGAGTTGAGAAGCATGATCGACACATGTTAGAAATTGTTGAGAAGCATGCCTAATACTTGTTAGTATTTAATGAGAAGTTTTACTAAATGTTTGAGAAATTGGCATGTACAGTGTATGATTCCTTAGTTTACAGAGAATGAGATTTGAGTATAATTGCGCAGTAAAGAGACTGCTTAGTATTTCATTGAGTTAAGTGCATCATTGGCTCTAAGTAAGTCTAAGTTCTATTTCAAAAATCTATATCTATTTTGGAAAATCATTATCTATTTGCATTGAGATTTGCATGATTTTTTATTTCCAAAGTTGTGATAAAAGGGAAGTTGTTTGAGAATATTTGTGCATGAGTTTGCATAAGTAGAGTTTGTGGCTTGAGATATATCTATATATTATCTATTGTGAGGAAAATAGGTTTTTTGATGACCGTTAGGACTATGTCCTTTCGGAAGAAAAGAGAAAGAAAGAAAGTTTGAGAAATGAATCGGACATTGTGAACCGAATGAGATATTTTAGAAGTAACAAGGTCGATATTCCCGCGTTACTAGGTTGGATACTACCCGGGCTTGGAATCCTGGTTAGGGGGTGTGCACACTAAGGTACGATACCTGATTCCACAGAGAAAAATTTAAGAACCCAGGACATGGTTCTATGGGCGAGTTGGTTATGTGGCCGGCTAGATTGCCGAGCCGGTTAGGTCAATTCACGATTCGTGAAGACCTACCTCCCCACGAGTTAGAGGTTCCGTTGATACGGATGTGGCGGCTGCACGAGATTGCACCGTTCGCTAGGGCTTCGCTGCGGCGGAGTACCTGCTTTGCCCAAGAAGAGAAATGAGAAAGTTTGAGAAAGCAAGTAAGAAAAAAAGAAGAGAAAGGCGAGTCTGTGTGACTCAACAGAAACCTCCACAGAAAAAGTATACCTTTTTGAGAGAGAGTATATCTATATACTTATAGCATCATGTCATTTATTGTTACATGTATTACATGACTTGCATGTGTTGCATTTAGTGTATGTTGAGTTGCATAGCTTGTTGTTGTTGTTGAGTTGGCATGATAGCTTTGAGATTGATTGTCATTTAGCATGAAAGTATGAGATTGTTTGTTATGTTATTTAGTATCTCTTTGTCTATAAGTTGAGCATGAGATTGTATATTGAGTTATGTTTAGTTGTATTTGTTGAAGCATGTGAGTTGTGTTAGGTTGAGTACTTGAGAAAGCATAATTATGTGTTGATTACTTTTCGGCTAGTTCGCAAGTATATAGAGTTAATTATGGGTTTGTTGAGAATGTTGTTTAAGTGTTGAAATGTTTGAGCTTACGTGTGCTTGCCAAATGATTTTCAAAATCTATATTCTATAGTACTTTACAGGGTTGAGTGGTTTTATACTTAACATTGATTTGCTAACGGGTTTATTTTCTACTTGTTTTTCTTAACCCCTTTCAGGTGGGCCCTGTGTTTGAGCGCGCACGAGTAGTTTTAGTGCGTAGACTTTGAGTTGGTAGATCCTAGATAGACTCTACTTTAGACTTGTGATGTTTAGTTACAGTTGATGAACTTGATGTTAGTTGTTTGACTGTTGGAAACTTAGTTTGATCTTTTGATCGGGGATGTACCCCAAGTTTTAAAGTTGTTAATGAAGTTTGACTTGAGTTAGTTTTTTTTTTTTTTTTTTTCTTTTTTAGCCTGTGCAGTCATCATGGGTGGTGACTGTGGCGGTAACACCCGTGGTTGGTTTTGATTGAATTAAGTTATTAATCTTACCTTTAATTTCTTACTTAGATTATCTTGCTAAATTAAGTTTCGGGATTTAGATTAAGAAAAAGTGGGGTGTTACAACAGTGACGCGGCTATGGCGGAGGATTTGGATGACTGTGAGTTTTGGCTTTCGCCACAATTTCTCGCCGATGATGACCTCAAGAAGGGTGAGCCCGGTGCTGGGTTTCTGTATGGTGGGTTTCCGATGAGGGAGCTTGGGATTTGCTTTTTGTTGCCGCCGCCGCCTACGAGCTTTTGAGAATTGTCGGGGCGTTTCGTGCGGTGTTTGTAGAGGTAAAATCCGAGAGCGCAGAGGATAACATTCCCAAGGTGACAATCCTAACTGATAACGCAATTGCCACTTTCTTGACCGGCCGCGCTGCGAGGCGATTGGGCTCGACATCGGTGACTCATTCTGCTGAGCTGGCGGCGGCAGCTGTGGGTTCTGATATGGCTCTGCTTGCCGAGAACTTCCGCGAAGAAGGGCTGCTCAAGGCTAGGCAATACAGGCTCAGAAGGCAGGCGGCGGAGGGGCCGAGTCTGTTCCCGGCGGCGGCTTTGGACCCACCGAAAACAGCGGCTGATGCAGAATTCTTTGCTATTCTCCACCCTTGTACTGTATTCCGGCGTGAAAAATGTTGTGTCGACAACAAAAGACACAGAATGAACAAATGGTGAATAGAAAGACTCTAATGCCCTCAAATTGGAGATTGAAAGGACTATTTTGCCCTCAAAAGAAACGGCGACTTAACCCCAAACAGGCGGAGGATAGATTCTACGCCAAGACTAACTGTGAATATGTCTTTTGGATGTTCAGAAACTGATGATGTTGTTGTGACTAGTATTGAAGTTTTATGCTAGAAAATAAGTCAGAGTATTTGATTGAATATACATTTCAATTCCAATATATTAGAAGTTGTTATACTAGGTAAACTAATCTATTTCCTTTACAGCACGTTTGGTTCACGGAATGAATTTTGGGGTAATAGAAATGCTATTCCATAAGGAATGGAATATGTAAGGAATAATATAGGAATTGTATTATATTGTTTGGTTCGTGTTGGGCGTCGGCCGGGTTGGTCGAGTTCAGCCCCTGCTCGATTCGAGACGTGGCGCTGTGGCTTACCATGGAGAGATGTGATTAAATGGTTAATGTCCACCAACCTATCACCAATTGGTTTTAAGTAGGATATGACAACCAGGTACCATAGAACTCTGTGGTTAAGCGTGTTTGGCTTCCGGCAATCCCGGGA